TATACTTATTTAAATTATTCTAAACAACCCTATCAAGATAAATCATTCAATGTTTTGCTAAACAAATTTATATGGTTCTTGAATTTGGTAGTTATTGGTTCACCACTTTTTGTTGGTGTTTTAAAGATATGGTACAAAGTATTGATCCGAGAACAACTAATAAAATTTCTCAAATCTTTCAAATTAATAATTAAAAATTATAATTATAAAAACTAACTTATAAATAATACCAAGCAGGAGCTTTGTCCTATGTAAATAGATGGTTGTAAGCTAAAGTCCTATTTTTAAAAAGTTATATTTTTATGACTTTTTTATCCTTATTTTAAATTCATGAACAATAGACAAATAGGTGACATGTGAACAAATAGAAGAATGACAGTGGTGGTTTACTTGTATGATTAATAATATCAATTCTATTGTTAAGTAGGGAAGGCAAAATTTCTGGACCCCATTGTATTTGACAAAAATTGTTTTTAATTAAAAAAAAAAAAGTTTGGAAGGGTACTAGTAGTAGAATTGGGCCAATTATAAAAATATACAAGTCAAAATTGCCAAGATTTTGGGTTAAAAATTTTGAAATTATATCATCAAAAATAATTAAATTTAAAATTACGAATTCACATGTAAAACTCAAAAATCCTCGACCTGTTTCCATCCCTAAATAATACCATGAAAATCACTTCATTTTTTACATATAATTTTACTCATTAAAAAATTTTCCATGTCTGAATTCAAAAAGTTAGAATTGTTTTGATGCATACTACACAAAGAAATAGAAATATCTAAGACATCCCCTACTCCATCTTATCAAGTCCTCGAAAACTACATGAAAACTCCATGCAACCACTATCATATAATGATGTTTTAAATCAATTCAAAATTTTACAGCTGAAATATATTAAATCATGTTCATTTGAAAATTTTACAGGTGAAATATATTAAATCACGTTCATTTGAAAATTTTACAAGTGAAATATATTAAATCGCGTTCATTTGAAAATAAATAATGACTAACTTAGCGTATATATATGTTTTTGATCGGCGGAAAATATCATGCAAATAATATTACATAATTCTTCAAAAGTATCTAATAATTGTCTCAATAATAGACATTAATAAACTACGTAAAACGAAAGTATCTAATAATTGTCTCAATAATAGACATTAATAAACTAAGTAAAACAAACTTCTACGTAGGCATTGTTCGCTTTTTTTATTAAAATAAAAATTTGGTTATGGTTGATGTATTTTATTATAAGTTTGAAGTTCTTAATTAGAAAAATTTATTATTAATAAAATTATTATTAGTTTAATTAGTTGTTTTTAACTTACTCATTAGTTATAAAATTTGGTTATGGTTGATGTATTTTATTATAAGTTTGAAGTTCTTAATTAGAAAAATTTATTATTAATAAATTTATTATTAATTTAATTAGTTGTTTTTAACTTACTCATTAGTTATAAAAAATAGACCCCTGACACATATTTTGTAAATAATTAATATAAAATAAAATAAAATAAAATAAAAACTGCAAACCACATTAATAAACTACAACAAACAGTGCCTACATCTGAACTTGTTTTCGTTTGCTACCGAAGTTTCCTTCAACATTACAGTTTTTTTCATTTTACGGAATAAAATGGGTTTGCGGAATTCCAAACTTACATTAATCAAACATTTTTTTAAAAACAAATATATATATATATATATATTGAAAATGCATAAGACGCTAAAATATCATACATATACTGTTACATGTCTGTTTATTACTCATGTAAAAAAATAAAATTATCACATAGAACTAGTTTGGTTAAATAGAAGATATTCATGTCTCGTTTGAGAATTAACTAATTTAGTTGGTTTTTTAATTTTTTATGAAAAAATATATAAAAAATAAAAAGAATGATGTGATAATTTATAATAATTTTTTCATATTTTAACTAAAATCTCAAGTCCTCAAACGTGGCTGTAGAGCCCAGGAGATTATTAATCCAATTGCATAAAATAGGGGTAAAAACAAAAAAAGGCCAAGAATTATATTTTGGGCTAATTACACTTTGGTTAAATTACACTTACACCCCCTAAAGTTTAGATTTAATACATATCACTCTCTGACGTTTGGAAAATTACACTAACCCCCTTGTCATTGTAATTATTTAGACGGAATGAAAATATTAAACTTATGCACTCTCTCTTTTCTTGCTTTACTTTACTTCTTTTTTTTTTCTTTTTTCTTTTTCCGTTGCTTTACTTTTTTTTTTCCAAAGTAATTTTTTTTTCTATTTTTCTAGTAGGAGTTGTTACCTTTTATATAAGTAGGAGGGTTTGTGAAATGAGACTATTAACCACAAGGGTGATAATGTAATTTTCAGAACGTTAGGGGGTGAGATATAATTGAACCAAATCTCAGAAGGTGTCAGTGTAATTTACCCTTACACTTAAACACTTTCCATTCTTATAGTTCGATTAAAATTTCAATTCAGTTTCTATTGTTTTAATTTGAATAGTTTTGTCTCTACACTTTAAGTTCAGTTTCAATTTAGTTATTTCATCTAAATTTTTGTTAATTTTGTCTACATGTACACTTTAGCAAAAATTGATAAGTGTCTCAAAATTATTAATTTTTAACCTCTAATTTGAACTGAAGGATTAAATTAAAATTATATTTAAAATATATGGACTAAATTATATTCAATTTGAAACTATAAAAACTAAAATAAAATTTAAATCAAATTATATTAGTGAAAAGTGAAATTAACTAACATAGGAATCTCACCAACTAGGCCTAACCTAGTTGGCCACCATGCCTTTCTTAGGGCTTAGTCCCAAGGAGGTCATGGGTTCAATTCCCTTTAGGGGAGTTAAATGAAGGGAGTGCAAGCACTTAGGTGCTTTGCCATGGATGGGGAGGTTTTCTTCCATAGGTGCTAATCTAACAACTAACATTTGCCGATCAAAAAAAAAAAAAAAAAAAAACTAATATAGGAATCTCCACCATTACTATAACCAAAATGCCCAGTAACCCAGATTAACCAACCCAGATATTTATGGGTTGGTGTTTGTGTAGTAGAAATTAAGTTTATGTAGTGTGAAGTGTACAAGTAGAATAAATTTGAATCACAAAATCAGTGACAGAGCCAAAAATTTTAACCACTGAATTAAAATCTTAACAAAATTCACAATCCAACTTAATTTAATTTTTATTTGATTGTAAAACTAAAAATTAGTGTGATGTAAAAATTATATTTAATTATAAGCTCAAATTAACTAATTAAATTATATAAAGATGCACACATAAAAAGAGATATGGAGAGTGATAGAAAAATAAATAAAAGAAAATGTGAATAAATAATATATAGGGGCTGCTATAATATTTTTTTTCACCGTTTTGAATGACTAAATCACATAACAATATATTATTAGTTGTTATTAATTACATAATAATTATTTATAAACAACTGAATTAATTATGAGTATTCATATAAGATGTGATAAAAAATCAGTGACATATAATATTTCTCTAGTAATATAAAATTTATAAGAATTTTAATATAATTATTTATAACATTTCTCTAATATAAAATTTTAATATAATTCTAGGGCAAATTACAAACATACCCCTTGAGGTTTACTTACATTACAAATTATCTCCTATGATTTTAGAAATTACATAATGTCTCCTAAGGTTTCTAATTTTATAACAAATAAGTCCTTTTATTAATAAATCATCAAATTAATTAACAGTTTTTAATAATATTAAAATTTTATTTCAATTAATAATTCAGATAATTTTATTATTGTATAGGTGAACAGTTAGAAATTTCACTTTTTCAATTGATTCTGTTAAATAAAAAATTTTGACAGGGAAGTATTTATAATTTTTCAAATCACATGGGACAATTCGTATTTTAAACAAATCTTAAGAGATGTATTTATAATTTACCCATAATGCTAATAAAATTGAGAGGGGCACATGACCTCTACGTACATGGCCTCTACGTGCCTCTGCCACTGCACAAGATCATAATTTGAATAATTTCTGAATAATTAAGTTTTAATTGGTAGCAATGTTTACAAACTCGAACCGGCCCGGCCAATCGAATCAGTTGAATTGGTAATCGGGCCTTGTTTCAGTTCAGAAAAACCTCTAAACTCGAACTAAGATAAAAACTGATGTAAAATGTAAAAACCGGATGGATTGCCGGTTGAACTGCAAAATCGGCGACCCAAATTGGGTTGTTATGAACCGCCGGGTTTGTTGAACTGTGTTTGTGTTTGTGTTTTTATTTGACAAATATGTAATATTAATTGCTTTTAATATAATGCTTTTTATTAATTTCATTATTATGATTATACTTATAATATGTTATATTTTCTAACTTTGATATATGTGTAAATTGTGCAATAATTTTTGCTTGTCAAAAGTGTTGCACAACCTATTTAGAGAAAGGTTTTCAACAACTAAAAATAAGGTATATCACATTATTATTGCAAATTATAATTTCATTGTGAGTGATATTTTGTTAAATTCAATTTTTTTTTTTCATTTTTACACTTATATTTTTAATATATATATTTTGTAATATATTTATGATAAATTTATGACATCACGATTTGACCGTTTTGACTTGGCGGTTGAACTGGTAAACCGATCCCTTTTTTGATTCGTTCACCGATCATGATAGTACTGTTATAGTATATCAGGGGGAGTAAAAATGGGAAACATGGAAGCAAAGTGCTTCCATGTCTCCTAGTGTGAGCTTAATTAGCACATCCCATTATATGAACAAGAACAAGCAGCACGTAAGAGAGAGAGAGAGAGAGAGAGAGAGAATAGGACAGTGCAGTTGGCAGTGTTAGCGGTAGCTGTCTCTTGAGACAGTCAAACATCGAGATTCAAATTTGAGTCAATAGAGTAATGTGATAGATTTTGTTAATTTATTAATTCTTAGTATGTTATCATATGGTAAAAATAAAAGTAAGAGAGAGAGGAGCTTACAAGAAGGCTGAAGCCGGAGACGCCGGCGAGAGAGAGGGCGATAGCGGAGCTAGAGAGAGAAAGCTCGCCGAGGTGGCCAACCATCATGGTACAAACAACTTCCAACAAGTTCTGTGATAAAGTCACCACCACCATCAGTGCTGCTATCCACCCCAGCCTCTTCACCTCTTCCCCCAACTCACCCCATACCCATCTTCTCCTCTCTTCTCTCTCCTCTTTCAATAACAACAATCCCTCTTCCATCTCTCTCCTCTCTCCCACTCAGCTCCTTTTGGAATGGGAATTATCAACAGAGAAAGAGACACAGTTTGGCATAGATGGACTCCTCTCATCCACATATTCACTTGAGATTATCATAAAGTTATATTTTAATTTAAAAAAATATCATTTTAATCTATTATATATATATATATTTATATTAAAATTAAAATTTATATTTTATAAACAAAACATTCATGTATGATATGTATTAACTAACGTACGTCCGCTCGTGCTTGAAGGCACGGTATAAATAATATTGGTAAATATATTTTACAAGAATCAATTAATATAAATTATTAATATTGGTATCACATTCTTTACAAAAAAATCAATTTAAAATGATAATAATTTCACTGTTATAGAAATCAATTATAATAAATCAGTTCATGATGACAATAATTTCACTGTAATATAAAACTCCATACATAAGACTTCCACCACCATTTACGGCAACACCACCGCCGGCCGTGACTTCAGCAAGTATCGTATGATGGCGGTTCGTTTAAGTTAAAATATAATTTATCAAATTCATTGCTAAAAGTTTAAGTTAAAATATTAATTTGTATTTGAAATTTTTATTGAACTTTTTATAGAATTTCACCATCTAAAAAAGTATAGAATTTAAAATAGTTACTAATACAGTATTGAACAAAGGTGTGTTAACACATTTTTAAAATTTTAAAATGTGATTGAATTGAGTCATATAAAAACTTTAGTGTATTTATCAAAAAAAAAAAAAATTTGAGTCGTATGTATTTAAATATTTTTTTGATTAAAATAATATTAAAAGACAAAATAAGTTAAAATAATATCAAATTCATAATTATTTTAATCTACCAAATTAATCAAAAATAAGTTACATCATATCTAATTATAAAAAATTTAACAATCTTACACTCATCTTTCCAATTATTTATTGTGTCTTAGATTGGTCTCTTTTTTTGGCTCACTTTCTCTTTTTAATTAGAGACTACATTTTTAGTACTCCCTCCGTCCCAAAATAATGGTCCCTTTTGGGGAATCCAACTTTTTTTGGTAGTACAATTATTGTACTTTTAAAAAGTTGGTTTTCCAAAATTACCCTTTGATAGTACACTTTTTTGAGAATATCAATGTCATAATTGTACTTTTTATATTATTTATGAATTTAAAAGAAGGGCAAAATGGGAAATTTATATTATTTTTGTACTTGATTTTTGAAGAGGGACTAATATTTTGGGACAATGAAAAATGGAATAAGGGACTAATATTATGGGACGGAGGGAGTAAATTTTTTGATTTTTAATGAAAAAATGTACAAAAAAAAATAAAAAAAAGTGATTTAACAATTTATAGTGATTTTTGAACTTTTTGATTAAAATATATAATTGCCAAACAAGACCTTAACTAATAATTAAATTATCTTACTCAAACCCTAGGTTGGTTTCGACGGTTCTATTGACCAAATCAAGCAAGATCTTGAGTTAAACTAGGCGCGGCTTGCACTCATTATCAGGTTTCTTTTTCCTTCTTTCTCCCTTCTTAGTTTCATTTATTTATCAATTTTAGATCATACGGCCACTTTGAAAATTATCACTTTCTGTTCTAAATGTATATTGATAAAAGGACGAATTACACTAACAGTTCTTATAGTTTGTTCTCGTGTTATTTTTGTTTCTGACTTTTCAATTGTGACACATTTGACCTTAAATTTTAAATCTTATTCTAAATAAGGATAATTGAAGATATCATTGGACATTTTAAGGGCAAAATTGTCAATTTAATAAAAATATAAACTAATTTGATAAAAATAAATGTCAAAAAAATATTTTA